GCAAGAAGAAACTGGGAGCGGACCATCCTTCCACGCTGAGCAGCATGGGTAATCTGGCGTCGACTCTTCGGAATCAAGGGCGGTGGGATGCAGCAGAGGAGCTGGAGGTGCAGGTCATGGAGACGAGCAAGAAGAAACTGGGAGCAAACCATCCAGACACGCTGACCAGCATGGCTAATCTTGCTTGGACATGGAAAAGCTTAGAGAGAAGTGCTGAAGCTATAGGCTTGCTGCAGGAGTGCGTTCATCTTCGATGTCAGACTCTTCGAGCAGGGCATCCTGATCTGGTATTTTCTCAGGAAACCTTAGCTGAATGGGAAGCAGAGCAAGCAGGTAGAAGTCTTGCGATAAGTTCATAATTCTGCTTCATCTTATACGCACTTATTACCTTCTTAAGCGTGCGCTTACTATGGAATTATTAGAAATGTACTTGACAGCAGTCGAGGAAGTTGCAAGATTAGCACGAGTCATGTTGATACTTGCAAAGCTAAGATCTTAATACTAATGCACCAGTCATTCGCTCTGCAGACAAGGGATATCCTTGCGCGACGAAGATCTGATAAAATCTCGGAACGTGCCAAAGGTGAGACCGGTTTTGCAGGGTACTGTATCCTGTTTGTCCTGTTTGCAACTTTGCAACGTAAGTTATGTTCCTTAAACAGCTGACATAGCAAACACGCTAGCTATAAACAGTAACTGCTTCGCTCCCAAGTACTACGCGCGGTGGCAATTCTGCACAAATCTCTGTGCTGCACTAGAAGTAGAGCTGGTAGTGACGTCTAAGTGGCTGGAGTATAATTAGAAGCCTAGAAACGCTGAAATAGGACGTATTGGGGCTGCACAAGCAGCAGGATGACACTGCTTTCGGAAAGTCCTTTCTAGTTCGCAAATGTGGACCTGCTGGAAGGAAGGCGAGAGGGCAACAATGCAAAGGTAATTTTGGAATAGGAACAGTACGTTGCATAGAGCAGAAGCTATAATACCTGTGGCATATTACAAATAGTTTAACATTAATGCATATCTGAGATAGCAAGCCAGCCAAGTCAAAGTACCCCTTGAACTTTTCGGCACGGAGGGTTTTTCGTTACTCAGGGACGGACGTTAGGAAGGCTTCTGTTGCAATAAACCAGAAGCACTAAGATTTTTAGAGGGGCTCTTACTTAAGAATGGACTTATTCCGCCACAACAGGAGGGGAAAATACTAAGTAACTAGAAGAAGGAGATTCAGGAGGAAATTCTAGTTAAGGTTGCGAGGCACCCAAAGTAATTCTCAGATTGCGATTATTGCCTTTCCTAACCAGCTCACCTGCATATAGCGTTTCACCATCTTGCTCTTGAACTCTGCGATCAGTATAGCAGGATCAATCCTGACGAAGCTAAGTTGGACTCAAATATTGTGGCACAGTAGGATGAAGCTATTAAGAGATCACTTTTAAACCCAAGGCAAATCATCGATAGCTAGATGAGGCCTATCAGTAATGGCGAATATCTACCTATTTTACTATTCCTCGAATGCGGTTCGTGCCTATGATGTTCCCCACTTTTGAGGCGATATTGTCAACAGTATCATATGGATATTGATCAATCAGGGGTACGTTGAAGTGTTGAGATGATTTTTATTCAAACCAAACTCCATGCCTAAAAATCACGAAAGGAGTGGAAGGCTCATATTCGTACCACATTCTTCTACAAATTTGATACGAGTGGGAAGAGGTAACGTACATGAAGGCGTGGACCTCTTCTACGAGCGTACGTGGATCGATCAGGTTGAGGCGTAGAGTCTCTACGTTTGTGGGATGTGATATGCTATAGGTACGGATATTAGAGAATCGACCACCCGAAACCAGTTGATCCTAAACAACCTCAGATCAACTACGCCAACCCACTCCACGTGCTCAGCTTGATGAAGCAGGTTGGACCTCCGCATAAGACACGATGGGGACGGCCGAAGTCGTGCACAACAGCAGGCGCCCAGAACGGGATGCACTCCAGCGCATCAGATTAGATTTGGAGTGGTTGCTAAATTTGAGACCTGGAACATCAATAGGATCTCTATTTCGGTCCATTTCGAGTCAGCTTTCGACCGCAGTGCCCCCCCGAGCGTCGAGACTCTGGGAACTGGGTGTTCTTGCCTCATGCCGATACACTGGAGACCATCCCTTGCAATTTCGTCGTACGAAGTTCGTCGACAACCTCTACATCCACGCCCTCGGCCTGATCAAATGAGCAGTATCTGTTCACAGCAAGCCAAATCCGCTATCAGGACGGCATATAATCGAGCAAGCGCGTCAGCATGAGCTACCTCCAACGCCTGCAGTCGGAGATCCAATCTCGATATCTAATTTACAGATGGCAAAGAAGGACATCGAAGAAGACGGCAGTTTTGCATAGGTGGATGATACAGTAATTAGGTCAGATGATTCATAGGCAAGATGTTCTTTTCTTTAGATACGATAATGTTTAGAACTGTCTCAAATGTTCACAAGTCCAATTTTGCAGGCACCAACTTTATGGTGTTAATAAGCAATTTGTTCTATATAAATGGGCGCGTCCAAGTCTTGTTGGCCCAAGCATGATTCTATCTACCATCCTATACGCCACCGCTGGTGCTACCTCCATTAGTTCAGTAAGTCCTAAGACTGCCAGAGAGTTTCTTCCACTGATATCTGAATAGGTCACTCTGTGCAGTGAAAGAGATCTTGGAGGTTCTTGCTCCCGTGCGGGCATGAGTTCGAATGAGTGTTTTGAATTAGACATACTTGCTGGCGACATCAAATATGCATCTATCCAGCCTGATCCTAATACAAGATGCAACGTGTACAGGTAAAAGACTTGCAACATGTAACAGTCCCAAGACTAACATTTAGTGAGTGGTACTGAATGCGTCAAGTTTGACCCCTACGATACTGGGAAAGGTGGCATAGATTATGAATGGGCCTCAGCGAACAATGAGTCCATCAATATAGACTTTCAGCCACAGGCTATCTGTTGCAGGGACTATGATCCAAGCGAGAATCCACGGGATCCAAACTGTATATACAGCTCCGACATCAAGACTATACTACTAAGCTCCAACTGATAAATTGTCCTTTGTTTCTTCAATATATGGACTATCTTCCAGTGCATTGTTGTGTTCTTGTGCATTGTTGTGTTCTTGTGCATTGTTGTATTCGTGTATAGTAACCCATTTTGACGATCCATTTGGAAGTTGAATTTGGCATACCTCAAATTTGGCCACCAATTTACATTGTTTAAGCAAACTTGCACTGACCGTTTCCACTTTGAACTCCACTTGCTTTTCCTTGTTGTCACTCTGCTCTTCTTTGTTGTCACTCTGCTCTTCCTTGTTGTCACTCTGCTCTTCCTTGTTGTCACCCTGCTCTTCCTTGTTGTCACTTATCGAACATTTGGGGCAAGGTACGTCTTTATCTGAGGTGCACACCACTCGCGGATGTATTTTGCAAATGGATTGGTGTATTTGTGCCCCCCTTTTGAAGTCATGAGTACACTGCTGGCAGAATGATTCGTGGAACTCCATCTGTCCGAAGTAAATATCATTAGACTTGTGGATCTCTTTCATGGCATTAATATCCATAATAGACATTTCTGCAAACCCTTCGATTCGATCCTCTTCCGAGATATGGTCCAAGCACTCATTGAGCGGCTCAAGCCTGATGAAAGGTAATAGTGCTTTAAGCCAGTGCTCATCTTTCGGTGCATTTGCTTTGAACACGTCTAGAATAACTGTGAGGTTTGCCATGGTGGCCAGTAACGTAGTGAGCTGGACACGAAATATTTATAAGCTTCGGAGGGCCGGTTCAAAAGCTGAGGCGCCTCGAGACTATAAGTACCATGCATCTTTCGACCCTAGTGACATTTATGGACGAATTTATTCGTAGTATTGTCCGATGGGTTCTATTGCTATTTATTGGGGTGTTTGTCATTGTGCGTTTCTACGTCTCTCTTCTGAAGAAAATGCTTCGTTCCCCGGAGCCGTGAAGCCGGAAAGCGCAGCGAATCATAGGTTTGGTCCAGCTACGCCGCTCCGACTGTGCCGACAGTTTTGTGAGATAAAGTTGATTCGCCCACTCTGCTACCCTTACGGCATCCTCAACATGGATTCACCACCAACCCTTCTTACTCTGCCTACCGAGGTGCGCCTTCTCGTGTACGAATATTTGTTGTCTCCAGCGCGTTACATCAGTATTGGCAATTCCAACGATGCATTTGTGTATGTCAGCATTCTTAGGGTTTGCAAACAGGTGTATTACGAAGCATGCCCAATTCTATACTCCAACGAACTAAGGTTCGCGGCACCGCCTCACCTGGACCAGTTCCTAGGCGCGATTGATTGCATCGAGAAGTCCGACCGCGCTCGCGCGCAAAAGATGACATTGCTTATATCGCACTGTACCTGCGAACTTCCGTTAATGGAGCACGAGCGAAGCGATGCAACTTTTTTCATCCCAGCATTTTGTATCTTGCGCTCAATAACGATCAAGACGCGATGCGGCATATGCGAACTAAAAGAGACCAACAACGCCATCCAGCTTCTGGCCGCCGATGAAAGAATACGGCAGCATTACGACAAAGGCCTTGTCTCCGGGGCATCAATCAGCTGGAACGGCAACTTTGGAAACGTTCAATATCGTACGACCCAGCACCATATCCAATGGGGTCAAAATTTCGCAATAGAAGGAGGAGATGTACGCTATCGTCAAACAAGTTCCAAACTCACGACGCTCCCTGATTTTATCTTGTCACGTATCTTGGAGCTTGTGATTGGGCCCGCACGGGAAATTCAGATTCCGGGAGCGCAGAGAAACGCCCAATCCGTGTGGATACCAAGGGGCTTGCAAGCTCATAGGATTCTGTTCGACGCTGCACAGTATCTTTTCTTCTCACAAAGTTCCATATTGGTGGATCTGGGCTGCTATCAAGAAACAAATAAGGCTAATGAGATTGTCAACATCAACCACGACCGGCTACAGGAGATCTTGCGCCAATTTTCTCGACGAGGCCTGAGAAAGATTATTTTTTCCCTCCATATTCCCACGTACCTGCTCGAAAACGTTCGGATACCAGCCGAGCCGTTTCTCTTCTACATGGAATGGGGACTCTCCGTGAAGGTGAGAATCTCAGGCCTAGATGCCGTCTGCACCACAACTGGAGCAGAAATTCAGGAAAACATCTCGGCGTTACGGGCAAGAAATATGTGTCCAATGGTATCTCCAACACCCCTAGATCGAGGATTAGGCCTGGGATATGAGGCCGTAATTGATGGCCATGGAGCAGCTCGAAATATAGTGGAGGCTCCAGGGACTTCATCTCTTCTTTTCGACTTTCGGACAGCAAGAGTACGTCATCGCGTCACGAAGTTTCCGGATTTGTGTTATAAAGGCTGTGTTAAATGCGGAGTAGGTAGTTAGATTCGTGAGATACCTCATTTACTGTATGATCAAAGTCTATATCTATGTGTCTACCTTGCTCGTCAAGTGACCGATCACAAAGGAACCACGAAACGTGTCTCTATTCGATAAATGAGCCCGCCCGAGTGCTGATATTTGCAAAGTGACACCTCTTCGTTGGTTGCACCAAGTTGAGAATAGTGACTGCCAAGCATTGGTATATAAAGCATCGGGTTTTGAATTTTCACTCGGCAGACCCAGAATGAATCTTCTCAACCTTGTCGGCCTCGCGCGGGTTGTAGCTGGGGCGTATCTAGAAGTCACCGAACTTCCTACCAATGGAAGCGTCTTTACTATTCGACTTATGCCAACGGGTACTCTGAGTAACTCCACAATCACCGACGTACCTCCAAAATGGGCCAATGTAACCAACATAACCACAATCCCTCCTTCTCCATCGGAAACTTTGGATAATATTTCACAAGGGTCACGTTATGGTCTGGATGCATTATGTCTTGTTCTGATTCTCATGTATTTGTAGCTAGATCAAGTAGACAATTCGATCTGTCCACAAAGACCGATTTGAGGTCCCAGACAATTCTCTTGCTGAAGTTCAGCAGGAACACCAAGATCGCACTTATCTGCAATAGATTCAGCCTGCAAGTGAAAAATTGAACACTCTTCTATTCTTCCGGACCGACTTGTGCAGCTGTGTATGGCATCGCGCAAGGTATGACCTTTCCAACCGTTGAGAAAATCTCCATGATAACTACTTCCTTTGGATTCTTAGATTGAGATTGACAAGTTTATGCCTTCAACGTACCTGTCTCGTCACCATTGCTCAGCAAGAACCTTCCCTTTGAAGTTCTAAACCTTGCGGTGTCCCAGATTGTTTCATAATATAGCGATGGAACTCGTAGCATAAACCCATCGGGGCATTCGCCTTCCATGAGTAGATCGGGATACTTGAGATGCTCTTTATGATTAAAAGAGTCAACTCTACCGTCCCAACAAGATGGAAACATTAACTCAAGACGAAGTCCATCTGGGCACTCGTCGATAAAGGCCTTGTCGGGCAATGTGTGGCGCTCAAGTGCACCTTCTTGAGCTCCACCATAGTTTAGGCAATTGAACCCTAAGGCTCTCTGCTCTAATTCATCTTGCTGTTTCTCATTGAACCCCCAGAGCGACCGCGGTGGGTCAGTGACTGGAATTGTAGATGTCCGTCTCTTTGAGTCTCCCGCTACCATGCGAAACCCATCAGGAAATTCTCGGATCTTTTGTCCAAAAAGGAAGTAATAGCTTCTCAGTAAGCAGATGAATTGAAATGATCGGGTACTTACATGGTCATTCCATTGGTTTGGGGAACAATCTCAGTCGTCTTATTCGGATATTCAAACATCAAGGGTGGGGTCCAGTACACAGACATATCTTGCCTCACTGCACAGGTCGTGCAATTTGATTTGATAAGATCGCTGTACGAGGCATTGAAGTGTAAGCCTAAATTGGCATTAGCATTTGGTACAAGTCTAAATGTGGGTACGGACCGTTAGCACCATGAAGGACATGAGCATGCTCTGATGGCTTGCCGGGGGAAACAATGGGATCTATCCTGTATACGCCGAGGCGGCTGTAGCAAGGAAGTCTCCAGAAAGCAAAAGTACATTGAAGGAGCGAGGTCAGAAGTAGCTTTACAAGATACATATTGCAGTCGTACTGTGTAATTGCGGCTGTGTCGCCCTATATACTGTCACTCTCCGAGCCATGCGCAACATTTGGAGCGACAAAGATGTCCCCAAATGAGAACGTTTTCATCATTTGGGCAACAGAAGTTCTAGCTTAGCTAGCCGACTGTTGAAGTCATCTTCATCACTGCTGTAGTTTGGCTCGGCGATACTTCTGCTTGCATATCTATCATTATGTTTCGCCCGATTCTTACGACGACGACGACGACGATGTGAGTCCACGTAGTTGCTAGTCTGGTTGATTGAGTCACAATCGGAGGGATCATCCTTGTCAAACACTTCCATCTCAAGCTTGTGCAGGCGCTCATCATACCCGATACTTTTCATTCGTGGCTTAGGAGCCTCGCCAATACTTTCAAGATAATTATCAATGGCGTCTTCGCCTTCGGATCGAGACTTGACTTTGATGAAGGCTGTTTTGTTAAGGAGTACCTTCTCTCCATTGGTACGTTGGACCTGAATGACCATAAAACGGAGGTGATCAGGGTTGTCTCTAGCAAACTTGCGCGCAATCCCCAACACTTTTTGAAATGTACACGCGTCATCCTCGTTATACGATTTTTCAATGCCATTGATGCGTTCTTTCTTTTCTGAAGTCATGTATTCGTCAATTGCGTCCCGGGTTATTGTACTCGGGTGTGCGATTGCGATTGAATTCAAGCCGTCTGTTTGCTCAACAATGAACTCTGTTGGAATCTCGACTGCGACAGGTTGGCCATTTTCCAATCTTGCGGATGATACTACCCTGGATCTGTGGCCGATTATCTTTTTCCATGTGATCAGATCTCCAAGCTGCGAGTTCGATTTGGGCTCGTCAATGTCCATGGCATCTGGATCGCGCGTTGAATCCGTCTTCTTTTTCGATGACGCATGTGACTTGCTGGAAGAATTCTTCTTAGGTTGACTCGGGGATTGGGGGATTGTGAAAGTCCATGTCATAGGGAGTTCGCACTGGCACAAATGATTTCTCACTTTCTCTTTCAACGTCTCGAGTTCCTTTCGCGCGTCTTTCTGTTTGTCGGGATCTTTATCGGATCCAATAGTGGTTACCAACTTCTGACGTTCTCGGCTCGTTTTCAATAAAAAGTTTGTTGGAAGAAGGTACTTGCTGAAGAAAACGTCGTCGGCTATGTTTTGCCGATATATCGACTCATTGATTTGGTTACATTCCTTGGCAAGCTCTTCATTTCCGTCTAATAATCCTTCGACCGCTGCTCTGGCCTTGTTGATTATATCTTGCATTTTATCACTCATTTTGCTTTCATCATCGGAGTCGTCAGCGTCTTCTGATCCCCATGCTCCAGGTGCAAAACTTTCACCCAGGTCCCCTTGTTTTGGCGCGCCAGTCTTCCGCCTCTTTTCATCATATTCTCTCCGTTTGTTTGGATCCGAAAGAACATCGGACGCGTTTTTGACCCCTGAGCACAAGTAAGAACACTTTATAGAAACCTATCATTCAATTGAATTTACTTGTCAAAGCCGCATCAGCGTCTTTATCTGGATTTTTATCGGAATGTGTAAGCATCAATAGCTTCTTGCCCTGTGTCCGGATCTCATCAAGAGATGCATCTGGTTTTACACCAAGGATCTCATAATAATCATCTTCCTTCCAGGTGTGTATTCTAGTGACTGCATCTCTTTGCGGTTTTTGGAGGGGCCTTTTATCACTCATTCTATCTGCAATGCGGATTGTATGATAATGTAGATTAAGCAGTAGTCGCAGGAGTCGCACTGTTATTTATAGTTCACAAGGCGTTACGATGGGGTACGTTTACGAGGCAGGCAATTATATTGGGCGGCAAATTTACATGGAACTTGTACTACATGCAAAACTAGCTAAGACCCTTTTGGCAATTCTAAACCCTGCTTCTGAATCGGCCAGGCCGGGTTGCAATTCGCGTGGCACGTATCGTAAAGTGAATATTGAAGAGTCGGCGGTTTTGGAACGATTGTAGTAGACGAATCTCGTTGCTGATCTTTTCGCTTCGGGGTAAAGTCCTGCGGAGATTTGAAGATTGGAGTCGGGTACAACCGTTTCTACTATTGTCAGACATACGGTAGGTTCAAGTAAGAAAAGCTGACCAAATCTTCCCGTGAAGGTGGAAAACTCTCCTCATCTGGGTGAGAGTTGTATATCACCAACGGCTGTCCTTTACGTTGAACCAAGACAAAGACCTTAACATCATACTGCTCATGAATTTCATTCCCCCGGCGGATGTAATTGTTTTTCCGTTTCCTGAATGACTCCTGGTTGAGCCTTGAGGAAGTCATCTTTGTTAGTCTGAAAAAGGGTGGCACTCCCGGCAGCTTTATACCTTGTCACGCCCATGTGAATCGGCCTACAAAACGTAGCAATCGGGCTCCTTGTGCATGCAGCCACCATGATGAGCACAACAGATTGGTACATTATCATAGTGGGGGGGGCTGCCACTCTTGTGTTAATCATCTTGCTGCTCTTATTTTGTTTGCAAGATATCACGCCGCGCATTACATACATTCTCCTCAAGTACATCGTCTACAATGACATCCGCTTCTTTCGACAGTCATGGATCCGATTCTTGCGACAATTCTTTCCACAATCGTGGATTCAATTCTTTCAATCCCGAATTCGATTGCCCGATGCTATCCTGTGGTCGACATGCATAACGGCAAATATAATCTGCTTAGCATGGAATTTCGATACAGTTGAGGGTTTAGGTACCCGTTCTGCATCGTTACTGGCTACCAACTTCATTCTACTCCAGCCGGGAGCTAGCATAGCCTCCGATCTTTTCCGCATCTCTTTACATACATATCACAGTGTGCATCGTATTGTGGGTATCATCACGTGCTTAGAAGGCGTTTTACACGCCACTGTAGCATTTACAACTTCTCCACGACGACAAGACGTGTATGGTTGGGCTGGAGTAGCAGTAGGTGCGTTAGCATCTTGAGTCTAACTATGGCTAATGACGAAAGGCCTTGACATGCCTTGGAATTGCAGTCCTCGTTTCATTTCCACCACTGCGACGGAAGGCATATGAACTCTTTCGAGGCTTACATCTCCTCACGTCCGCCATGATAGGTCTATCACTCTGGCTTCATATCGCTGAACCGACTATTGTAGAAAGGATACAGATCATTGCTGCAACAGTGCTATGGGGAGCGACACATCTATATCGAATTGGCAATTTAATGTATCGAAACACCCCGTGGAGTTCGAATCGAACTACTATAGGCATCGTACCGTTTGGTAAGTCACTGCAAGTCAATATCAAGCCCGGTAAATACTGGAAAGTTAAACCGGGCCAATATGTCTATCTCACCATTCCATCGCTGAGCTTCACTTCGCGTATCCAGCGTCACCCGTTCATGGTGACGCCATCAAATGACTCGGACTCATTGGACATTGTAATCCAGCCACAGAATGGCTTTACGAAAAGATTATGTAACTCATCCAGCATTCCAAAGGCATGGATTGAGGGGCCGTACGGTCTTCCGTATTCCCTGCATGACTTTGGGACGGTGGTTATGTTTGCAAGTGGTATTGGGATTTCAGGGCATCTTCTATATCTACAGCAGCTATGCAACGACTACCAGGAGTACCGCATAAAGACAAGGGAGGTGCGTGTAATCTGGATTGCCGACAATCCGCATCAAGTAGAGTTGGTAAAATCTTATATGGATCCGATCCTCATACAAGATAGAGATGGAAAGATTCAAATGGAAGACGAACCCGCGAATGAAAAACTGAAATCAGACAACCAAGCTGGAGTGTATGGTCTTGCAGGCCACCACCCAGGTACCCTACCCGTTTCAAAGGGTGAAGAGGTAAGATCAATTCTAGGAGCGAGCTTTTGTACTGACGACATGTAAGATCATACATGTAGATGTTTATCTTGACGAGTACGAAAATGTGCAGCCTCGTCGCGGAACAAGATTGGCTCTAATCCGAGGAAAGCCGGACATCAGAGAGTGGGTCCGGGATGTGGTGAGTTCAAGGACTGGGAAGATCATCATATCCAGTGAGTTTAAAATGGGACATGGAAGCATTCATCTCCTAATGTTACAAGCCTGCGTCTCCCCATTACTCGGGAACGACATCCGCCAAGCCGTCAGGCAGTATATGCGTAAAGATGTAAGACTCGTTGAGTTGGACTTTCAGCCTGCAAACCACGGCTTCATTGATGAAGGACAAGACGATGGTCCGCGAGTCGGCGAAAAACCTGGGTAGCTAGAGATTTTCGATGTCATACCGCTCCATTTCGGTGTGAATGTTAACAGTCGAAACGTAATTCTGTAGTGTAACTTTTTGTTTCGCTTGGAGATTGTCCACCGCCGTGCAAATTGATCGTGAAATGTCCCTGATGTCGTTGAGAGAGATGTCAGCTATTAGGCTAATGATAGATTGATGAAGTAGCTCCTGCGATATTTGTGTCACTGTATCCCGGAAGACCTCCGCATGCCGGAAGCATTCCCGATAGAAGGTAATCTCTAATCTGAGGTATCCATTGATTCGAGACAAGGTCTCTATGTATTCCTCAGCGCTCTCGTGCCGTTTTGAGGACCACATTTGCAGCGGCTCCATATCCACAGCTGCGGTGCATCCCCCGTTTGATCTTACAAGTTGGTCAATATCATTGGCTTCCAGTGGCCGAAGACGTCGTCGTAAAAAAGCAGCTGCCATGTGCGGACCAAGAAATGACAGGTGGCAGATGTGATTTATATATGGCCCTTGGGTCCGCCCTTACTTGGCCGTAATGGCGGCGAATCACCGTGGTACGCTCTTCCCAACCGCAGAAGATTTTCAACATGTTTCCAGGCGCACTCATTCCGAAAGCAGGAAGTTTGCGAACGGTACTAAGCCACTTGATCTCGCACTAAAGCCAGCAACACCTTCCAACGCGACCTACCTCGAGCCTAAGAGAAGAAACCCAGAAGAGAGCGGATACAAGTGTATTATGATGATGAAAATTGATCCAAGGGAACAAAAGTACTGCCTGGCCCAGACAACTCAATTGGACGTGGTGATGATAAGAAGATGGCCCATGGATAGGAATCGTCTCTGCTTAGTACGGCCAAATCGTCGCATTCTGAATTTCATAGAGGCATTCGAGTACAACAATTCATTGTGGGTCGTGTATGATCGCCCTGGTAAATTCCTCCCGTGTGTCCTTAAATACACCACTATCGGCACTGGTGATATTCTTACCATTTCCCGGGAGGTAAAAAGGAATGACCTTATTCTCGCGCCTGTTGCTGATGCTGGCTAGATTCTACACGCTTTGCACGATCTAGCTCTTTCTGGTTTCGTCTTCCAGAGAATTGATCCATGGAGCATTTGCATTTCACCTTGCGATGGACGCATCAAACTAGGTAAGAACGGCGTTTTCTAACAGGACATGCTGCTTATTTTCCCCTCAGCTATAGACGATTTACAATACCAGAACAAAAGCCCATTAAATTCTAAACCATTTGGTGCGCTATTGAAGGAGATGATGAAGTTAGTAGATAGAACTGAGGTGAACAATGCACTGGAGGGCCTGATAAAGAAATGCACACATCACACTTTTGAGCAGCTACTAGAGGTAACAATTCGAACATCAGAGCTCGAAATAGCTACTGACCATACCAGGATGCCGCTCTACAAGACTTGCCTAGAGCTCGTTCTCTCGTACCGCATGCATTGGTCATTGAACGGGTGGTGTACCATGAAATAGATATTGGACATTTTGGTCCCGGAAGCGGCGTGTCCATATTAGACTTAGAGCAAGAGACACTTGAATCTAGATAGCTGTATTGATGACAAGTTCCTTATTCTTGCGCGTCCTTTTCCTTGGTCGGACAGTTTCTTCGTTGTTGAGCTCGACTGCTTTTGTAAGGTTGGCCAACTCCTCCTTCCCAGATTGAACCTTTTTCAGCAACTCTTCATTCTCTTTTTTCAGATCTCGAACCCACATCTGATACTTGATATTGTATTCGGAAACCCTCTGAAGTTCGGTCAAAATATCATCGTACTTGCCATCATCCAGCTTTTCCCTTGCCTGAAGCAGCACTCTGTTCGTAGCCGATTCCACAAGAAGCTGGCCAATGCTTTGGCCCTCGGGTCTTTTCCAGTCCTCGCCACGCAGTTTAGCTAGCTGAGATTGCAAATTCTCAATTACACATTCAGAGTTTTCGGTAATCTCATGCGCCTTCCGCTGAAGGGACGTGTTGTGCTCCTCCATCTGCTTGAACCTTTCATCATAATTTGTGGCAATGACCTTCGTTTCTTCCAACTGGCTCAAGGCATCCTTCAGGCGTTGATTCAGGTGCTCATTGGTGCGTTTTTCGTGCTCCAGTTCGATCTGGATTTTCTCGATTTCATGCCGGGATTTTCCTCTTTCGGTCTCAACAGCCGCATTCGCCTGGCAGACATTCACGCGCAGATGCAAGATCTGGCTGGAGAGTTCTTGGATCATTGGCCAGCATCCGACATGGAAGTTCTATTGATGTTAATGTCAACTGTTAGACATGTTCAGCACGTACATGTGGGCCCTCTGTAGAGGCAGAAGCTCCCGCTTGAACTGTATGATTCATGTTGCTTGGTGTATACTTGCTTGAAAGGGAGAGCTACTACTATCTCTATATAGCCCTCCCCTGTCCAGAGCAGGCAACCGTGTCTTTGCCCGGGTGATAGCGGGAGCACAGAATAGCTAACAGATTATTCACATCCGAATCTCCGGATCTTGGCTTAATCAGTTACTGAATGTAAACGGTACAGTAGTCAAATAGTGCGAAAAATTGGCAAAATCAAAACACAACATGGGTCATAGTTTCCTACAAATTCACGCCCTCCTGCTTTTGTCCCGTGTAGCCGCATGATTACTTGAGAAAGAACTTCTTTCATGTTGCGGCGGACGCTGGATGAACTTTTTCTTTGCACGTGCGGTTCGGAAGTCCGGAAGGACCTGGCGTTGCGTTTCATATTTTGTAGTCCCCAGCCCCATAAGCACTACTTATAGCCTACTAGAACTGTCCTGGAAGCCCAACACAACATGAATCCCACGTACGACGATCTCTATCTTCAATCCGATATGTCTCAGAACGATTTATTCGGCGGCGTGGCTCTCCCAACGATGCCCGGCGACTGGAACTTTGAATGGAACGAAGAGACTTACAACAACAATCCTTATCTGCCTTTAGGGCCGGCTGCTCCAGCAGCTCCACCGGAGAGCCCGCAGCAAGATCAGAAGAAAATCAATGAAATGATTCAGCAACTCGAGATCTTGAACTTGAGTATCATCGATCTGAAGAATACTCTTTGCAAACGGATTGAGGCGGTCGAGGCGGTGATGGTTGCAACTCAACAGTATGCAAGTCAATTGGTGCCCTGGTCCTTGGAACTTCATGAGAACTACAAAAAGATGCTAGGAGCCATTGAGCGGCAGGGATCAGAGCCTTCGAAGAGGAACAACCCATAGGTCATGCCTTTTTCTTTGTAACTATCTCTATATTTCGACCGACTTAGTTACAACAGTCTTTGTTCGTCGATTGAAATGTGACTTGCATCATGTAATGTTATCTGTGCGTGCATAGGCGAATATCCTCTACCATCCAGCCATCACGCCCAGCCAACAGCTACAAACGCCGCACAGATACTTGTGCACAGCCCATCGATCACTATCGTGCCGTATTGCGGCAATGCGGCGCTTAGGGCTCCGTACATCGCTATAAGTGAAGGAGCGTAGACAACAGAAACAACAGCATTGTCTGCCCGAAAACATGCGACTCGATGCGATCTGGCCAATGCTTGTGGTTCAGATTGAATCCTGCGCGGCCTCTCAACGTAGGTTGTGGAGAATACTTCCAGAACCTCGCTAACCCGCTTAGCGCGACTGACAGGATCAGGGGCACTGACCTCTGCGGCCTGGACGAATCAAACGTTTCCAACGACCGTTCGATGGCCAAACACCACAGCCATCACCAAGCCGCCAATCCCCTCCAGCATCGTCACTACGACAGTCGAAAGGACAACCACCCTTATGGCAACCGGGAGCACAATCGGCTCTATCCCTGATGACGTAAGATCAGCACAGTATTCCTCTACTACTCTTGGTCTGATCGCCGTGGCTTCGGCAGCTGGTGTCTTGTCTACCGTTGCTGGGATTTGCTTCATCGCTCAGTATTGCTGGCGACAGGCACATCAGAAGGCAACACAAGCATGTAGTCGCCAATCAAGCACACGGCTTCCCAAGGAACGGGCTGGTTCGATGCGTTCCCAGGGTCTGCATGCGATTCCAGAAGAGCCAGGAGGACGGGTGACGGCGCCCAGCGGCACTATACAAGACGATGGCTTCGTTGCAAATACCCTTCGGGATGGTCGAGGGCTCCGTATATTAATAACGTAATATATCAGAACTTAATGTCTTGTGGAGAAATGTTGGACCTAGAACAACGTTTCAATGTAGAATCCGGCAAATAATTAATGAAACGAGATCTTTTGATTTTGACGAGCTTGCGGTACTATTGTGATCGGAACGTGACTCGCTTTATCTAGAGTGACACAGCGCAGTGACCGTGACTAGGATGAAGATGGCGAGAGAGCAGCTCAGCATCACGATGCATAGTGTCCATAGGAGTCCTTTCTCGGCCTCAAAAACTGGATTCTGAGCGAATTGTGTCAGTACCAACTGGATTAGTGCAAATGGTACGGCAAAAAGAGCCAATGCCAAGATTGAACCAACTACCATCCACGGCTTCAAGTTTCGTTTCCGACCACTTAATGTATCAATACCAAAGCATACAAGAACCGAGTTCTGGACAACCATTCCAGCAATTATTCCTGGCTTTAGTGTTATTGGCAAGAGCAGCTTCATGGTAGCGGAAGTTTGTGTCTCTTTCGTTGCTAATTTGCAGGGCAGTGAGAAGCATTGAGTTTTGCTACTGTTTATGCTGCAGTAAGAGGTGATTCCGATAGTATATCTTTGCAGTTCAGGGTGGATTCTGAGAAAAGTCAGCTTATCTCTCAAATCAATCAACGGCACATGCATGAAGGTTATGATCCCAACGCGACTAATGCTGGGACTGCAGAGCGCATAAAAGCTGCAGGTGACGACAACGACATGAATGGCATATGTCACCAGAACAACGCCGAAGCGAGGTTTGTGAGACTTGAAGGAGAGCATTTGATGGTCCATGACAGCTACATTCCGACACTATATACTTCCCTGGTGCGCCTCCGCTTTCGGGGCCCTTCGGCATCACGTGCCCTTTTCCGTTTCAATCTGGTACTACACACACAGCGGAGTCCGCTTTTTACGCTTTGATGATCAGGTCGGCCGAAATGTGCATTCAGCTGCTGCCTCTTCATGAAAGATGACAAACCCTGCGGGAAGCCGCTTATTCTATGCCGTGAACCTCCTTCATATTTGAGGGATATGTCCAGTACTTGACTGAAATGATAGATTCTGAACGTAATCACTTTCAGGTATCGACAGCATATAGGACAAACATCGCTTTCCTCTAGGGGCCCCAAAGCGATGTCGTCTTCAGAGAAGACGAACGAAGAGCCAGGGTACTCCTTCACAATTCTTCGTAGTAGAGCTACAGTGTTTGGACTTCGGCAACGCAGTTCTCCCGTGCACTGGAAATAACTACGGCGCGCCACTGGTTTACCTCGAAGCTCGAAGAAGAAGGACGAGGCAAAGAGTGCTCTCGTGATACGTCGAAAGTCGTAAGTTTGGAAAAAGTCGTATGACCATGTTTTGATATCAGCAATTTTCGATACGTCGTCCAATTCTGGTTGTTCTTCACACGGCATATTGATTCTGAAATATCGGTCCAGCCGATTTTCGTCAATGCGATTCTGGTGGTCATACCAGATTGCTTCTCCACTCATGATGGCGTTGAATAGGCGGAATAGCCTAAGCAAGAACCGGTCTTTGAGACTGAGTCGCTGAGTTACGGTTGTGGGAGACTCAGACGGGCGCGCATAGCCCGTACCAATCGAAACCGCGAGGTCGGGGCTAGTATCCCAGATGGCTCGCGATTCCCACTCCGCAGCGTCAATAGGATTGTTGTGCTTCCCAGCGCCTCCATCTTGGAGATATCCCAGTCCAGAAATGAATTTCGCGGGAAAGTACGATGGTGCAGCTGAAGTTGCCCGGGCTCTGGACAAGTGGTCAGAGAGCATGCCAGGACAGGAGCAAGTAACTCACGCATCACAAACAAGAACTTCATGCTCACCGACGTCAGGGCGATAGAGGAAATAACCTGTTGGATAAGCGACTGTGAACTTGGGGCCAAGGGACCAACCTTGATCTTTCCGTCTATCCATTGCTCCGTTATAGTTTGACAGAATGCACAAGCGGGGATCGAAGACAGTCATGGTGGTAACAGCAAACTTGGTTCCGGACACCTTGCGATGGCCAAACAACGCTGTGTTTTTGCCATAGGCCTTCTTCACGCAGGTTTCCATTGCCCTTGCCCCGTAGAGACTGTCCGTCAGCAATGAAGCTATCAAATTTCGAATCTTGGCTAATGCCGTAAGACCTCGTCTGTCGGGAAATACTTCTCTGGCTAGTTCATCAAACGTTGATATGCACTCCTTCAGATTGCGGCGCAGATAAAACATTAGTACTATTAGGCCCCCTAGAAAGGTAAGCATAACATAGTAGTTGACCCCGAGGCTATTACCTGTACTCGTGCCCAGTAGTAAGTCGAAGTCATCGTAGATCGGATACGGCAGGTTTCTCCACCGGTCCAACTCTTGTATTGCTTGAAGTGAGAATGCACCGCGAATCCCACCACCATCCAACACAAGCAGGCGGGACCCAGCGGTTGGGGGCTTTAAGGTGACGCGCAGATTATCAGAGGCGCCGCAAACTGGGCAGGCTTTCATGTGGAATAGATACTCCATTCCTGTCATCGGGGCTGCCTGCATCACGATGCAAATATCGCAGAAGGAGTGTCCACATTTCAAGACGTGTTCTGGTTTTCGCATGATGCAGAACAAACACACTTTCGAGGTTCGGAAGCGGGGTGTCCTTATCTTTAACGAACATAAAATCTCTCTATGAGATTTCAGGGAAGAAATTTCATTGCGGCAGACCCTCGAGTGCAATGTGCAGTAATGGTCTTGTAGTCGTTGGCACCAACCCGCTGTTGAGAAGCATTCGAGTGACGCAAACTTTGCCTCACAATCGGATTTGTAGAGTTCTCGAAACATCAATTGGGCATTGAAATCTTCTCCGGACTTAGAATCATATAACTCGCATTTGGATGACTTACGGTGCGTTCCAGGGGGAGAACTGTCCAGGAGCAGAGCTGATGCTACGTATCGTAGTAGGACATCTTCGCTGGTGATGAAAACAGTCGAACAAAGCTTGAAGAACTCCCTTAGATGTATCTGGCTGTTGGTGGTTCGCATAGATCTAACAAAGTTAAATGGTGTTTTGTCTGTTTCTGCGACATGCTGCAGTGCTGCTTCAAAGAAAGCTTCCATATGTCTGGCATTGAAGAGCGTATTTTGTTGCGCTCGTTGGTCTCTTATTTTCTTCGACCAAAGCATAATGGAATCTAGTAGTTTAGAGTATGTGGGGTTGATCAAGCTGGTGTAGTGTGCTTTTCTAGGCACGGCGTGCTCAAGCGGGCTGTAAGTAACGATTATGATATGCGGATGCCACAGCGTTTCCCTGCTCACTTCTGACCAGGTCCGCAACTTTGCGAATGCTTCATGGCTACTGTCAAAGTCGTCTAGAAATATGCATACAACATCTGTAAATGTAATAAGAAGTCTAGCAATGATGCAGTCAAGCATATCCTGAGCAAACGTTGCTGAGCTTTTGCTCCATTTGATAGTATACCGCGATTGCCCGAGGCATCTACCCGCGGGCGAGAACCCTTTGAAACCCTGCTCCGTATTGAGATCGGCAATCATCAAGGGGTATCTTTGACTGGTAGTCCCATGTTCCACATCAATAGCCGCGAGTGCATGTGACCTGGGAGAAGATAGGCATGAGAACATGGCGGCCCGAGCCGCGCTCTTCTTTCCAGAGCCAACTAGCAGTAAGAGAGAAGGAAACTGGTTATCAGGGTCATGCAGGCGGCCGATGATGTTCTGCAGCCCCGTCCCGGCCAGAAGTCCCCATGTGCTGCCGGTGTAAGAAGCGTAGAGCCAATCAGAGGGATAGCTCCGTGCCATGGTGGAGAGTGGAATGGGCCATGGCGGCCCTTTTAAGATACCACTTGGGTCTAAATCTGAGGGTCTAAATCTGAGGGTCTTGAATCAGCCTTATACTCCTTTGATCCGCATCTATATTCTTCTCACCTCACAAACATGGCCGAAGCTCGTTATTTCCTAGGGTGCGCGCGAGTGCAACTACGCCATTTGCGGTATGCGAATAGTAGCACGGACGACAAGTGCAGCGGTTGTTGTGTCACAGATCTTGAACACAACTTGCCTGTTTTAATCGAACGATCTGCTCTGCATATGTCTGAATCGTTTCAGCTATTCCAGGTGGTGGATGTTCCACCCTTGCCACTTCCGGACTCAGTACAGCTCGATTGCCTTCATGGCGCATTTCGCTTGCGATATGGAAGAGAAGACTCAAAATTGGACGAATGGTGGCTGGTGGATTTGTACGACGCAAGTGAGTGCAAAATCACTATGCACTTTGTAGCTAATTGCCAGGAATGCCAAAAACGTCCCAACGATCACTGCGACTGCAATATAAGAGACATATGCCATCTTGTGATGGGGAAAGATACCTACACATTCGTTACTATCAGCGACATAGAAACATAGATCATGAAACCCGCTGGAAGCAACTTCTCAGCCCAACGAAGCAGAAGACTCTGGTTCAAATACAAAGAAACCCATGGCTAGTGGAGATCCTTGATGCATTGGAGTCAATTCGATCTCTGTGGGCAGATTTCCATATAGGATCACTGCCGCCAATACTAAGCTGGAGATGTAATGAGGTTGGTAAAATGCACAGCTACATGTTGCTCGCTGATCAGGTCTAGGAAATCAAAACGTATCTCCTGGCCATGTACTCCACTTGGACTAATATCACCAATGGCCAAGGTTGGTATTGTGATGAAGAGACTGTTAGCCTGTTGCAGGGTCTCTCTCCGGCCTGGAGCACTAAGGATCGTGAGAAGATCGAGCTTCTAGGGCGGGAAAATCGGATCTTCCGCCGCATCCAGCACGCTAAGACGCGCGATGAAGTGATTGCGCGGGTTCTACGATCGGAGGGAATGATACTTACGTTCAAAACCTTCTTCAAACACACTAAGCTCCTCGGCTCTATCATGCTGACTCTGCGACATTTGGTATTGCCCGAGAAAGTGCGTCCCTCCATGCAAGCCATGTTGGAGGAATGTTTTAGTAATCCGCGGGGGGACAACCGCGTCTATATCCAGTGCACAGACGACCTTCATCACCAAATGTATCAAGAAGCACCCCCCCAAGAACATCTTCGCTATGCGTATTGGCAACTCTGCCTTTTTATTATCCGACATAAGGAGCACCTCATAACTGGATTGCAGACTCCTAAATATTCAGCCCCATCCGAGTGCCGGGGATGGCAAATACGATTAGGCAAGCTCGCAGGGCAATTAGGATTTCGAACGCACCGGATCTTGGAACTGCAGCAAGAAGACCCCGACCAAGGTGATGTTCGCAGACATGTGAACGACGAGCGTCCTCCTGGCATCTTTGAGCAAAGAAGATTTCAACATGCAGTGGCAACTAGAAGAGGAGTCCTGAGGCAATTTAGATGGAAGCTGGACACTCCTTCGGCTAAAATGGTTCAGCACGCAGATGAATCTGAACTTTCTCTTCGAGTCTGTCTCTTTTTGCCGCTCATTACAGCAGCGCTTGGACAGGCACCAGGTTATATGCTTAGTCGATTTGGAGACGTTACGCTGGTAATGCAGGCGTTCCTTGGTCCAGCTCCTCCGGTGGACATTTCACCCTCTGTCCCAGTAGAGAGAGCACCAGCAAGTGACACCGTTCAAGCACCGGCGGGAGTCGACCTCTCGGAAGCTGTCCCAGTAGAGAGAGCACCAGCAAGTGACACCGTTCAAGCACCGGCGGGAGTCGACCTGGTAGCGGGGCCTAGTGCTACCACCCAACCAACAGAACTGGATGATACGATGGAACTGGACACTTCAGCTAATGATACTACCGAGCCGCCAACAAATGCGTTAAGTCTAGCCACTAATGCCAACGATGTAGACATGTCAGCATCTTCATCAGTATATTCTTTTCAAGAGGAATCTGATATTGATAAAGTTACATTTCGGAGGCTGCCTGCATCGGGGGATCTTTTGAATGTTGGTGAATCACATACTTGCAGGATTGACGTAGAAGAGTTAGGGAACCTACATAACCTTCTCCGGCGGAAACCTAGCCGTATTTATTTCGCAGTCATGCGCGCGCATCAATTATATCCTCAGACATATGAGGATGTGGTTGAGTTGCTTGGGCGTAGTAAGCGTGTAACCAATATCTATTACTACTATGAAAAAGATATGAGCGAAACGAAGTGGTTAGGCAAGCACCTGCACCCAACCCAGCTGCTAGCCCGAACCAGGCCAGACCGGACCAAGCCAGAGGGCCGGATAACACGTCGGATAAACAATTAGATGTCATTGTCTACTCGTCGGTCCATTGCTGCCTCTGCCATTTCCCAATGACTGACTAAGGGTCCATTATAGAAGTCTCTGTCTTGCATTTCATCGGTGTATGGTCCGGAATATACGGCGTTCCACGCCCTCTCGGGGACTTTAACCTGGAAGTGCATTTGCACCGGATTCTCTACCAATGAAGGGAACAACCTCACCGAAAATACAGGTTCAAGATCCCCAAAGTCCACGACGCGTGTGTGTACCCCACGTATGTTGTTCCTTGTCAACCCTAGACTTCTTACGTCTTTTACCGCCCAAGAACTATATACAGTATTTAATCCTGAAAACCATCGGCTTGGCGCAACGAGGCGGCGCAACTCGTGTTGCGAGATCGTTGTCTGGTCGCCCTTCAACCCAACCACTCGCATGTTGAATTTACGAAAACGTAGCTCATTGGTCCTCGCATCCTTCACGTGGTCATGGAGGCTGGCTATAAACTTATCCAACTCATTTCGAACATTCTCATGAACATCCAGTAACAGCAGCAACACATAGGCGCCCCTCCCCATCTCTCCATCGAGCGTATCCAGGTCTTTACCCAAGATCATCGGCTGAATGTTATGTATGTTGACGGCGTAGTCTAGCCATTTCCCATTGTCTTTGAATATACTGTCCCAGATAGCTGCATGGTGCTGTGCCATCTCAGTGGAGGGGAATAGCCATTTCAGGCCAGCCTTGCACCATTTCCAGACGTAGGTGGCAATCGACATGTTGGGACGTTGGGACGTTGGGGCGTTGGGGCGTTGGGGCAGTAATCGTGTATTCTAGACTTTTATAGGATTATTTGACCATTCATTTTAGCAAGGCAGACGCGAACTTGGGGCGAAAACGTCACTAGTGCTCCCTGTGCCTGCCAGGCACAGAAGGCGTAGGATTGGTGCGGAGGTGCACGGGACATGGGACAGATGCTCAATTCCCTGTTAACGTTTCAGGTACACAAAGGATGCGCTGTGCCTGGTGTCAATGAATGAAGCAAAACGAAAGTATATTCTATTAAAGGCGAACAGAATACCTTAGGCATGCGTTTTGCAACGCAACGATGCCACGTGTCGCACCCCGCAAACCTATCGGTGGGTCATCCAACCCCGCGCGCACCACGCACGCATGTGTACGATGTCGGTTGAAGAAAGCAAAAGTAAGTTCAATATCGCAATAAGGACTACTCTAACAAAATATAGTGCACAGGCAACCCTTGCGACAAATGTGTAGCAAAAAATGTTGTCTGTAGTTTCAGCCCAAAGAGGAACACAGTACAGCCCGTCTCAGTGGGGTGAGCTAGTAGATACTATTTTTCGACAAAGCTAATTGATCTTAGTTACACCCGTCTTCTTGAGGAACAAGTAAAGACTTTGAAGGCCAATCTCTACAAAGCACACTCTGCCAGAGCAGGAGAGGTCAACATCAACGATCTCATTAATACAAGCGAGACGAGTTCTGCACATGAATACAATGCTAGCAACCAACAACTTAGCAACAAAGCCCTAGGCAAACTTCCAGTGGGGGTCTCAGGCAAACATTTGGAGAAGCATCTATTCGGACATGCGGCCGGGCATCCAGTCGAACATCCAGTCAAACATTCAGTCAAACATCCAGTCGAACATCCAGTCAAACATCCAGTCGAATATTCAGTTGAACATCCGGTTAAACATCCAGTTGAACATGTAGTTGAACATCCCGTGAAACATCCGGTCGAACATCCAATTGAACATCCAGTCGAACATCCGGTCGAACATCCAGTCGAACATCCGGTCGAACATCCGGTCGAACATCCAGTCGAACATCCAGTCCTGCATCCACTCCCATATCCGGTCCAGAATCCAGTCGAATATTCAGGCGGACTTGATGTTGGACATCCAGGTGGACACCCAGTCCAGCATCCACTCCTATATCCCCAGCACCCAGTCCAGAATCTAGCAGAACATTCAGACGGACTTGATGTTGGACATCCAGGTGAACATTCAGGCGGACTTGATGTTGGACATCTAGGTGGACATTCAGACAGGATTACAGCCGAGTCATCGCATGAACTGCCAATATGCAGAGTGACGCATTCAATCTTGGGTGCTCTGGACAATTTTCCGAACACACCGATGGTCGCCGGCGGTCGATACTTTACCGACCAACCTGCCGCTGACAGCCTAGAATTACTCGAGACGGTTCTACCGGATCAAAGCTGGGTAGAGGACTGGGGTGCATCACTTTATGATATATAGTTTGTACTGCTCCTTAGCTAGGAAATATTGTTTTATGGAATTATTCACCAAGTACGCATACCATGAGTCCAGCAAGTCGATATCAGCGTGTACATTTCACCGAACCGGTTTATTCTTCCGTCTTGTACTCCCTTAATCAACCAGAATACTGGGCAATAAAGTATTTTGAAGATCACATTCGCCTGTGCGCTACCTGCATTCCCCCCTACTCTCGTTTATGCGCCATTGGCTTGAGCCATGCCGGAGCAATCGATTCCTACATGTACTCGGTCACAGGAGAACACATCAGAAGTCGCACTCATCGACTGATCTACCTGGATATGCCAGCTGGCTTTCGTGCAACCCGACTATTACTCCATACTATGAAATATGAGTTTCCCCGCATTTCGCGAGGCAGAGCCAGTGCAGTCAATTATGTCAATCGCGGCGATCAGGATTCGTTGAGCAGGGGAAGAGCTAGGTCAAATTTCAAAGAGGATGGGGACCGACGTACAAAAATCAGATATGTTTATAGTTAATGCAAGGCTATCAAATACTGTTTCTATGCTGGATCTTCTTAGGGGTTTGGATCATGCTCGCTGGTGAGCTTCCCATATCAAATACGTCCACAGCGGAATCGCCATCCCAACTTGCGGAATATTGTGTAGGGCCTTCGTCAATGTGAAAGTCTTGAAACATGTAGTTTACTTCTCCCTCTGGCTCCAGGATTTCTGCACGCAACTGGTCACTCCCATCATCGAGCAGATTGTTGATGAATGTTTGCACCTGGTCAGTCGATGATGTTATAATGCGAAGCGTGCTTTCCAATATTGCTTGCGCCCGGTCTGAACCACCATAGATGTGATCGGTACATTGATTCCTCTTTATCTCGGCTTGAATATCCTCAAGACTTGGGTTTGCTTCCAGTATCCAGAGGCCAGTGACATGGAGTTTATACATAGAGGTATAATCCCAATCGAGCACAGTAGACGATACATGCAACAAGGAATGCACAACAAGTCTTCGAGTGTCAGCAATTCTTAGCAGAACGTTGGCTTTCACTGTCAGCAGATGTGTCATTCGGCGTGAGATAGAGTATACCTAATACAATGCCGCAAATATCATCATTGCTGCACGGAATTGGCTTGAAGCACAATGGATGGTGCAGAAACACATCCGCGGCCAGCATTTTAAATTTTGACAGGTCTAAGTGCAGCGCGACTTTCAATAAGATCAACACTTTCTCAGACGGTATTTTGGCGGGCTTCAGGGTCTGGACCACGAATGCGAAACTGATAGAAGCGTAAAGCGTGCTTGAGGTAGGAATTTGATACTTCGACAATGCCAACGTTAAACTAAGCATAATGTCTGTTGAGATATCATCCTTTGGTATAAACATGCCATGGGCAGACTGAGCAATGCGGAGGAACGCGTCGGGATCTTCCTTGATCTTGAGAATCTTGTTTGCATTGGTTTTGGAGTTCGCCTCTTGACAAAGTCTGGCGAACGTGGGAGATAGAGAAGAGAGTCGCTCAGAGGAAACAATGAAATGAGAGTCCCCAACAATGACCTCCAGATCGCCCCGCTCTTCCACAATATATTCTTTGCGTTGATCCATTCTTGGCCGGACGAGCAATGGTCAACGGGCAGAGCCACTTTATAGCAAAACTCCCATCCCTGAAAACTGAGGCATCTATTCTCCGGTATCCAAGCAAGTAACAGTCATTCTAGGGACGTCAGCCAAATACTTCTTAGGAGCGAATTAGTCGTACAGCGCAAATTCACTACAAGTTTCCATTCCCAACGGGTCTGTCTTCCCACAAACGGTCCCCATGTAAAGTTCGTACGTACAGAAAGGTTCAGAGATCCATACACGAGACGAGAATAGGATTATCCACTGTTTGAGATGCATGGCGTTAACTGACTGCAAGATCAGTCGGTTTGATAGATTTTTCTATATGATACTAATGAACGAGATACAGCCGCCTTAGTGATGGTCTCATACCACGTCGACGCCACCAACTATTGACTCCGGTCCATCCGAAGAAATCAGCCTTGGGCTTTGTTGCATATAATATCAGAACCGCGCTAGAGAGGTCATGCGCATGCATGATCGGTGGGAAGGGAGTTGGCTGTTGTGCCGCTGGCGTAGATAGAAAGCTGGGCCTCAGCTGGAAAAATTAGTCAAAACTCACCGTTGCTCTGAAACAGAACACCTACAAGGGTAATGCGGCAAAGCAAGTGCGCTCGTGATATTCGGGTTATCGGATCCGCAAAACCCTTGCAGACCTTCGAACTCAACCATTGCAACACTGCTACCAACTGGAGGTCTGGATTGGATTGGCTTATTCATTCCACGAAACTTCTGTGGATACTGGATCCATAAGCCTTCCCGAGTATGGCAGGGGGACAAGATCCAGTCCTCCGAAGGTGGTCCATGAAAATTGGCTCTCAGATTTGCAATCAACATAGGGTATCCTGCGGGGGTATGGTTCGAGGCGATGCCTCCTTTGATCCTGATAGGGGAACAGGACATGTAAAATTCCCTATTACCAAATGCATTTAACCACGTCCTAGATTGTTAGCGTGGTAGGTGAGCGTGGTACACAACAATTACCAGGCTGCAATTACTCTTTCTGAAGATGGTAACCCTTCTGGCACTCTAAATGTATAATCTTGGTTGGCGTCGTACGTGTTTGTGATTTCGCCTTCTTGCCCTTTCCTCACGCGGGGACAATTCCCTTCCCAGCTCTGTATCACGGCCCAAGTATGGCCAGAATCATAAGAGAGTGAGATCTGGCAGGATCCCCCACCATGTGCTGCACCCAAGGGATCGTGCATTCCCGGAACTCCTGTCTTGTTATTAGAATCAAATAGCCTATGAATTAGTCGTTTGGCGCAGATAGAATGATAGCCAAGCATACTGAAAGGTGGCGTCTTTTCCAGCGGTCCACACGGTTGATGAGTTGTAACGCCCATCTATGTGGAGTCCTTTACACGGAAAGACCTGTTGTCGCCATTCTGAGCCTTCATGGTTTGGATCACCATTGAGGGGCATGATCAGCTTATCGATGTGTGTGTTCCATCTAAAGGGGTCAGGATTTCCCATGAACAAGTGCGTCACGCCTGGCTTCGCCAGCAGCAGGAGTACGTAAACTTTCATGTTACTTGTATTGATGACTACTGTTATTGAACTCTTATATAGCATGGCCTATATCTAGCTCTGTGCTACCGATTTGTGGTGGTGGGTGAGATTCTGAGGATGACCAGCTAAAAGTACTCCGCAACACGCTCGGGCGCTATGCTGTTAGCATACCATGCAACAGGGTAGGTCTGACTACTTACTCCTCGGTCGATCGGAGACGTGTGCAAAACGTGGCTCTGCGGACTTTGGAACGCTTTCTCCATGCGGGAGGAAATGCCCGGTGTAGGAGGATTGTTCGAGAGACTGGCGGTCGTGTGCCGATTCTTGTTCGTTCCGATGCGATTATGCGTTGATTTCCCGAGATATCTGGCACGGATGGAAAAGAAGTTGATGGTAAACAGAAAAACTCCATTATGAATAGTGTCCCATTGATGAAGCCAGAATACTTTTGCGAGGCCGGCCATTTTGTAGCTCGTCACCGCTCGAACCACAGAAATTACGACACACAGCCCGATGAGACTGAACCGGGTAGCGGCGAGAAGTTTAGTGCGCCTTTGAATTCGGGCAGACAGTAGGATCGCCATTGGGAATACAATGAGAACACAGCTGCTGACTACATCCCACACAGTTGACAGCCAGAGCGCGCGATAAGAGAATGTATAACCCGGGAATATGCAATCTGCAATCTGTTAGTGACGCATGGTAGGTGGCTCGGGACGCTGTTACCTGCTACACAAGGCGATGCGACATAAGGATACGCCGCCAGGCCAGCTACATAGGCGGCAATTGAGGTTGAGACGAAAGCGTACCACGCCCGATGAAGTGGAATATTACCGTCGATGAGACGGTGATAGGACACCATCAGACTGCACTTCGCAAGCCATGTGCTTGTGATCTTGAGAACCGTAGAGGCGTATTGCAAGTGAGTTCCATAACCACTGAGGCGAATCCTATCAGTATGAAAGGCGAGGTAAGTGTCAATTGCGCAGCCCGTGCCAAGGAGCAGGATGCTGAAATGGGACAAGAAATGATGAATGGTTGTCACGGAAAGAATGGGGCGGAGAACCAGAAAACGTGCCACGTTAGTAGCTCCAGATATCACGAAGGTAGTCCAAATGATGGGGATGAAGATACGTTGATCGAGCATGGCGATACTGGAATGTGGGGAGTGGGGACTGAGGCATGAGGTCGCCGTTGGCGCAAAACTAAATACCAGATCCGAGGGCGCTTATCAGGAGGCGATGCATCGTCCCCAGGTCAACTACTCGCCAGGGTGGGGGAACCATGCCTGCGGCAAAGTTCGATCCTCAACGCCGAAAGGTCCATTAGCGTCTCGATAGCGTAGTTCGTCAGCCTCAGCAAGCGAGCAAGTTAGGAGCTCCACTGCCCATTGTGGGATTTCTTGAAGTAAATTTGGCCTCAACGCCTGCATAGCTTCACCAAACCACCGGATTTCTGCCTCGGTCAAGCTATCTATACTTGTGAAAGAGTCAGCTCTATAGTCGGCATAAATGACGTCAACGTCTTACTCCTTTCTGCGAATAGGTTTCTTGAGCTTCTGGTCAATGTGACCAAGATCAAGATACGGAGGCTGTGATTCTTCGCCGGGAAGAAGGATCAATATTTGGGGGCTCGGACGTGCGTAGCTCTGAAGCAAGAGGTGCATGAGTTTACCATGCCTGATGTACTGCGTGATCCTTTCCTCAATACGTTTGTCCGCCGCTCCCGAGGCTTGCTTGATGCTAGAAATGATCGCGTTCTTGACCATGTCTGCTGCGGGCCTCTTCTTTTCGGCGTCGCTCAAGGTCGGGTACAGAGCATCAATGGCATCCGTTGATGGTGTAAGTGGTAGCCCACTAAGACCTTGTCTATACGTAGATGTCGATTTGTGTTTAACTACCCTGTGTTGCTCCACGCGACTCAGGCGCTTATGCGCCGATAACGTTTCAACCGCTTCCTGGAATGTCTGATAGTAACAATACTTAACATATCGAGCGCGAGCAACCGATAGATGACCCACACTGTCTTCTCTGTCAAGATATTTGTGAATATGAAGGAGTTTAGTAATTTGTTCGGTTGTGTCTAAGGCAAAATCCGTCGTACTCTTCATCGTCATCTTCAGTGATTCAAGAATTCGTGGCGAGCCAATCTCGCGGATGGACTGGAGAATGCGAAGGTACTTGAAAACTTCCATTTGAGCTGGTAGCTGCAAATGCAGTTCTTGAAGTAGTGTTCGATCGAATCCATCAGGAATTGGATATTTAGATGCGCTGCTATTCACCGGGAGCTGGATTGTTGGTTGCCCAGAGTCGAGTTGCGTCGCATGCATTTCGCTTGATACACGTAGTTTTCTCAGGAATCGCTGACGCAGGTCCTCTTCTGGGGGAAAAATAACGTCGCCGCCTTTACTCAGCGCTTCAACATAGAACACCGAAGTAATTGTGATATCGCGCTCCTGCATACGGTGATTTAACTGTCGTCATGTAAGCAAAGAATCGTGTGCGTCATTGGTACTTACCCATAGACATGCTACCGTCCAACCAATATCCTTATAATGAGTTATCAAACGTGAAGACCTGAGTCCGGTTTTCATAGTGAATATTTTTCTTTTAGCCCTATCGCCAAAGAATAGGTCAGGCTCAGATTCCCCTGCGATGATTACAAAACTCGTGTCGCAGATGTACGATGTATCGCACCTCTCGATGCTTGGCGTCTGAATGATGTGAACGGTGCTAGGCAATAGTGCGTATAAAAGGCTATGCATCAGGCGTGGCGTAAGAGGAAGTCCGTCTACTAAAGGATGTAAATCGGCTGCAGACAGACTAGATGTCGGAACTCCGTCGTGCAGACAAACCCCTTCTTGGACACGGCCATGCTGCTCTTGTGCATCCATCTGTTGGATATCCGAAATGGCTACGGGAGGCACATCTTGACACATCACCTGCTCTGCAGAATCGTCCCGGCCGTAGCTCTCTGATGCGGGAAATGAATTATTTAGGGCTGAACTTAAGTCCTCGTCGTCACCGAATAGTGATCCTAGATCGTCATCACCGAATAGTGATCCTAGATCGTCATCATCAGCAAACGGATGCCTTCTGGGTGGACCATTCGAAGGCACATCAGATACGCCCGGAACAACATCTGTCCCATTGTCAACGTTCCGGCCTTCAAGAGATAGATCTTCCATGGAAGATTCCAATCTCGTCTCCCCCGGAGATCTACATGAAGCGTGATCACCAGTGGATAATTGCATCCCAACGCCCCTTCCACGTTCGGGCACAAACATGGAAGTTGGATCGTCATCCTCGGAAAGATCTTCTACAGGTGCTCCACGCAGATTCTCTATGGAAGCTTCAGCTTCATCGGGAGTTGACGAGGGAGATGATGGGTCCTTCTGTGCGCGCTGAGACTTCTTTCCAGCCCGTTTTTTCGAAATCCTTCTCTTGCCCCGATCATTGATTGATCTTCCTTCGGTGTAGTGCTGAGTAGAACGGGTTCTCAACACGCGAGGGCTAGATTGGCGAATTCGGGTTTTCACGTCATGCTTCCAGACTTCTATGGCCGAGAGTAGTCGGTTCAGCTCAGAGCTGTTTGCATCCTGGCTTCTTGCGGTCCATTCCTTTATGAATTCCTGTGATTAGTTAGAGAGAATCCCCGCGAAGGGCATGCTCACATGCGGTGATTATTGCCAACGCAGGACCTAGGGCACGAACTACCATACTTCTCAGACATGATCCATGAGAGAAGGAAGGGACATCTACGCTCTTACCATATGCCGGAACATACGGGCGATGATGTCTACTTCTAGTTAGCGGGAGCAGTGAGACGTCCTTTCACATCCCACTGCTCCCGCTAATCCTCTTCAAGGATAGCGAAAACTATGCCACATAAATCCCGACTTCTCCGGCCAGTCTGCAGTGTGATCAAACATGCAGCCTTATTCACAGACCGAAGGGTTTGGTGAAGCTTTCGGAAAGGTGCAGATGCTGAGGGGCGTGTCTCTGAGCTCCTTTATCGCTTCCCTTTCTAGCTCGCTGGCCGCTTTCCTTGTCCAGATTGGTGTGTTCTTTCTCATCAGCAAACGATACCCATCCATATAGTATGCAGATCTTTCTAGTATACGTCATATATTGACTGTTACAGTCCCGCTATTCCCAGGCTTCACAAGAAGTCCTGGGGATCTTTTCTCAAGGCCGTTCGATATGACGGCGATCAGTCGCATCTTGATAGCTACTTCTTCCTGAGATATCTCCGGACTATCGTTATCATGTTCCTTCCAGCAGCCATTTTCATCACTCCCATGCTCATCCCTCTAAACTACATTCACGGGAAAGGAGAGCGCAGCGGCGTCAGTGGGCTGGACGCTATTGCTTGGTCAAATGTCGGCCTTCAATATTGTAGCCGCTATTGGGCACATCTGCTCTCTAGTCTGCTTCTCGTTGTGCACGTCTGCAGATTAATCTGGGTGGAGCTTTCATGCTATGTGAAAATCCGACATGAAGCACCACAGGCTGCTCTGCGCACTGTTTTGATCGACTCCCTTCCTGCAGATTGGGACACTGCTGAGAAAATTAGGCCGCATCTGAAACTCTTCCCTGGCAAAGTCAGTGCAATATCTTTTAATCGAGATTTCAGCAAGCTGTCGAACAAGCTCGCGCGCTGTGAGCAACTTGCCCGTCTGCTTGAAAGAGAGGAGACGGATGCGATCCAGAGGCAATTGAAAGGTATATCAACGACAGCTACCTCCCCAATACCTCAACGCCGATTCCCCAAATGGGTCCGAGTCTGGGAATGGATGCATACAACTAGAAGTACGGATGCTATCTTCGAGGAGCTGCGCCAGCTGTGTGATCAAATCATACAAGAGCGAGAAAATCCACAAGGCTTCCCGATGGTCAATTCAGCTTTTGTCACATTCGAAAATCCTATTGCAGCACACATGTTCTGCCAGACCGTTATACACACTCGTTGGGGTTATGTAACCCCTAAATCACTACCTATTTCTGATGATGACATTGTGTGGGGAAACATTTGCATCAATTGGCTCGAAAGAAGCATCCGAACAGCCATCTCCAACACGGTCATCCTTGTGTTCACCGCCATCTGCATCGTTCCAGTGTCGCTCATTGGATTGCTTTCGCAGATTATATATCTTACGAGAGTTGTCACCTGGCTAGAATGGATCAGCAATCTACCAGAATGGACCATTGGTGTCATTCAAGGAGTCCTCCCAGCACTACTACTTACAACACTTCTCCGGGGGTTTGCGGCCGGCGTAGAACATTTAGTCAAAATCCAGGGAATCTCGTCTAAGAGCATAATTACCTTGAGAATTCAAGACTTCTATTTTTATTTTATGTTTCTTCAAGCGACTGTTATTATCTCCTTATCAGCGGGGCTCACAACTATTGTTAATGAAGCTTCGGACAGCATTTCAATAGCTGCACTGTTAGCTAAGAACTTGCCGAAAGCAAGTAACTATTTCCTATCGTACGTCTTACTGCAGGCTCTCTCTGTAGGATCGCAGGCTCTGCTTCGCACCGATCGCCTTATAAGTAACTTGATCCTCAGCCCAATCAACGACAGAACAGTTACGGACCACATAGAGAGGAGAAATGTACCAGACATAGAGTGGGGGATATTTGTGCCTGTCTACAGTAATCTCTCGTGCATCGGTATGCTTTTATTTTACTAAATCGTTTGATATGCTAATCAGTCTAGGACTCCTTTACTCGATTATTTCGCCAATCATCATACCTTTCCAAGTCATAATCTTCTCTATGTTCTGGCTGATTTACTCGTACTCTCCTTTAATACAGACAAGACGCGATAGTGGGGGAATCTTCTATCCCTCTGCTATAAAGCATCTTCTCACCGGATTATACTTCATGCAAGTGAGCGTGGCAAGTCTTTTCCTTCTAGTACGCGATAAACACGGGAAACCCCAGTGTATTGGTCAAGCAGTACTCATGATTATTGCTATTGGGCTTACGGCACTTTTTCATCATATTCTTTGTAGAGCGTTCGATCCGTTACTCTTTTACTCTCCTACAATATTGGACGAATCTCTTGCCAGGCCTAGCACAGATATTATGTTGACGCACCGCGATCTGAACTCAACCCTGACAATCAGAATCCCACAGCCCAAATCTGGCAAGATTGAGTGTTTAAACCTACGTAAACGGCTAAACCCAGGGGTAGTTGTAGTTTGCGATGACGAGGCCGAGATTGATACCTGTGGAAAGATCAAGCTAAAACCAATTTGAGGGCATATCAATATATAAACCATGATATCCAAATCATTCGATGCATAAAATGGAGTTCACATCATCTCAAAAGTCATCAATAGAGAGACTTACAGCAGTCATAATTGATCCAGCCTATAAAGGGCTCTGCCAGAAATGGCTGAGAGAATCTATACCAATACTAGAAACTAACATGCCATTCGATTGCGCCACCTGGGAGCTCGCTCAACTTCTGTTGCTTGCCCAAACCTCTCTATGGCCGATCTCTCTATGGCGAAACAAGCTCCCCCAACTTCGAGAATGGCATCATTCTTCCCCAAATGTAGTGACAAAAAGGGACCCAGATAAAGTGCACGCACTTTGTTCCAGACTGAAACAAAGCCGTTCGTAGTTACACTCCCACCATTGTCACACCGCTAATGCAGGGGAGGCAAGCAACTCGGGTTGGATGTTAACCTGGTCCGCCTGCGCCTATTGGTTTTCAGCCTGTTCAGACCTTCGGATGCGCGGATGTGGAAGTATGACAACCTACGCCATGCCGATCTTTTAGATTGTGAACAGCTTTTTCTTGGCTGTCAAGACAAGACTGGAAATGATGGATGGGAGCAGATAGACTATGATACCTGGATATACGTCGCTATGAATGAGCAGCCTTCGCTGCTTCGGCAGGCATTGCAGTCAAGGCTAGAATCCTTCGTTCCAAGTCGCCTGTGGCGATTTCTCTAATGGCGGCTCAGTGGCGCAACCTTATCTAGACGTGCCACCGGAACAGCGGAAGCGATGAGGGGAGGGCACATATATCAGCAACATTTCTGCATTGTAATTAGGCATATGCAACAAGCACAATGATTGTTTTTCCGCCAGAGCTAAAGCTTGAAATTGCGCGCCATTTGCGTACGAACAAATCTTGGCTTTTGGCGTTGTGCTTGACATGTCGTGAGAACTATCAGATTGTCTTACCATTGCTCTATCACGAACTTGTCATAGACATCCAAGATAACCGAGGAATTTTTCTTTTTCAACGATGTATCGGAGCTGGAGCTGCAACGCCAATGAAGCTGTATACCAGGCACCTCACTTTTCTCGAGCATCTGAAGATCACACCTGCCGCAACTGAACCAATACATCACTATGGCTCGGATCAAAGACGTGCCTCCGATAATGCCAATTTTCACAGCCTACCTCACCGGTCCGTAGCAGATCATTTTATGATTTTTACACTTCATTTCTTTGAAGAAGACTGGCTTCATTCCTTTAGGTACGATGCAATCACCAGCTATTACATTATCTAATGCCTTGTAGCTTCAAGTCGGATAGATACTTGAACCAAAATGTTTTCAAGTATGTATGCAATACTCAACGCGCCCTGCGTCATCTGCATGTCGCGCCAAAACGAACTACTTTCGGGGAACTGCAAGTTCTGAAGGACCTCAAGACGCTAGACGTTAGCTTTAGCAAACCGGGAGAAGCAAGACAATACCTAGTGGATGTAATCCGTGCGCCATGTTCAGTCTTTCAAACCGGGAAAATTGAAGGTCTCCGTATAGCAGCTGCGCGCACGGGGCCGAGACCCACGGAGGATTTTGAGTGGGCTCACGCCTCTAGTCAAAGATTCCACAAGCTCCGGAAGCTATGGATTGACAGTTTTGATCTTCGAAAATCGAAGTACAATCTTAGTGTAGAGGTTGTCCACTTGGCCCTCACAGAGCTAACAGTATCAAACTGCAACGGGACGAAGGCGTTTCTAGCGTTACTGGCAAACCAGCAAGAGTCTTGGTCACAGGGGAAACCATCGAGTCTGCGTCGCCTTGTTCTGGCTTTGGGTTCATCATATCCACATGTGAGGAGGTCACTTGAAAAGATTTTGGAGCACAGCAACCTGGACCAATTACACCTTATCTTCAAAACGGAGATTCTCACTTTAGAAGGGGCCTCTGTCCCTTGCGTGCCAGCGCGCCTTCAATCGTTTTCTCATCATCAAGCAACGCAGCCCGGGATCACAAAGCGACAATTACTTTCTGACTATCTGCATGAGCCTGTCAACCTTTTGTATCTTGGAATTGAGATCGCAGTTCAACAGATGAAACGTTGGTGTTGGCGTTCCATACACGGGCCCATATCTTCTAAAATTGACCCTCACTGGGTAAGTCGCTTGTTCCATCTTTCAGACCGACAATCTGACCAGTCTAGCACTATCTTAGATTTGCTGCAAGCCTTCGCGTGTTGCTTGTCAGAATCAAATTAGGTGGCTTTTCACCGGACGCAGTTTCTTCGGGCGATTATCAGGACTTTGCTGAGGCACTGTTCAAAGACTTAAAGGGGAATGGATTCTGTAAACATCTGCATACGATTGTTATTGAATCAAGCTCCAATCGTCAACCAAAAACCATTCGGTACTGCTACTTGAAAGCCCGAAGAAGTGATATTTGGTTCGGAGAAACACTCATCGCTCTTCCAGTAACAGAAAAACATCTTCAGGAATTGGAACCAGGACTGGATTTACTTGATATATCTTCAAACCTTTGGTAGATAGCTTTATATGACTTGCATTTGACTTGAAACCTTTCTGTTCACCAACTAGGTCTTTTCGCCATGCTCATTGATACTAGTTGGACTAATTTACAGCTCTTTTCTACTTTTCAAATTCGATTACAATTGATTCCATCTTTCCATTTTCAGTGCCATTTGATGGGCACGCATGCGCACTATTAAGGCATTTATAGCCCATGACCTTCGTTTTAAAATCTTCACTCAGTGTTGGAAGACCAGGAAACCAGTAATCTCCAGGAATTGGTTCACTGCATTGCTTGCCACTTGTACTATCAGCGCCCTATTACCTGTTATAGAGATGTAATTAGCATACCTGTAAAAGTGGCAACATAGGCCGAGATCTATTGCAATGGATTCTACGTTCACCATGCCATTGTCTACTTCAGTGCATTTCAAAAACGATGTGAGCGGAGAGGTGCAAGTTCTCCAGGTGCTGTCTCTGCAAAAGTGGATCTAGCCCTATTAGCTGCTTTCATCTGGATTAGAGCAATGGTACTACATCACGAGAACATATATTTGCAGGTTGACGTGTTGTTGACGGAAGCAAAGCTGAGGATAGACTTGAAGCTAGGCTGGTAGACGAATGGAAGGTGCTGGATATTGTAGTCATGTTCAACGATGAGGAAAGGCACGTCATTTTCACTTTACACAGACAACTGGGGACGATGTGACCTTTATATTATGAAAAAGACCCGGCAGAAAATTGGCCCAACTGTTTTTCATTCAATCTGGTTCAGCAGATCCCCACGATCATTCGACAACCTTCCAAACCATCCGTACCCAAGCAAGAGCGTTGTTTCTCCGACAGGTTCAATAGCTGCTTTGCTCGTTGGCTTTATCTCTGGCTTTTTGGCTGAGTTTGCATTTGCCATCTCCCTTAAGCGCTGACCTATGCCATTACTGTTAATCTAGATATGAATCATGAGAAACCAAGCTTACGTCGTTTCTGCTGAGCTACTCGATTACGCGCCCTGCGTTCTACTTCCTTGGTGTTTGCCATCATGTTGTTGACTGTTAAGTAGAGAACTTTATATGGGCAACGATGTATTGGTATATAAATATATGTCCTCCCAACTCAATGTAAAAGTTAAGGCTTTGCTAACATATAAAATTGACTAGAATTATGTGTCTCTTTATCTTAATTGCTCGCCCTCCGAAAGTCTATCCGGCAGTTGGAGAGATAGACCTAAAGCGGAATCGAATTTCTGACTTAAGGCGTCGGCTTTTTAGAGCAATCTTTAATTGGGGAACTGAGGAATCACTTCCAACATACTCTCAAATATCTATCGAGAGTTATGAAAATCCTTCAGGTACTTTGTTACACCTTCCTAGAAACCTTGAATCGGCTAATTATTGACCATATAGAAACCTTGAATCAGCCGACTACTGGCTATGTAGAAACATCACCATAATACAGAGCATTCGCCTCATTTTATCAACATATGATTCTACTTTGATAACCTATAATCATTGCACATGTTAAGTGATTGCCGTTTACCCAATGAAGTCAGCACCTTTGCCTCACGTACTGGATCAATCAATTAAAAAATATGCCATTGTCAAAACTGTTTTGATTTCGTAAAAGGGTTGCCAATCTAATTCCCATTTTCTGGCAGAATTTTCATATTGTCACAATTCCCTCCATCCACAAGATGATCAATAGATATGCTCCTATAAACGTCGCGCTCTTTTTGCCCCTACATTACGTTCTATAGACCCAGCGGAACCTTTGCGTTTACAATCGGGGCTCTCATCAGTGCCTGTCATTGCGACGTCTTCATCATGTGGGTCCCGAAGATCTTTATCATGTCAGCTTTGAAATAATCATCAAGGATATTGTGGAACAGACGAGCTTGAGTTTGTTTTCCTAGTGGGCCTCTAATGGTGTTGTTCTCTGTTTGTGTGCCCTGTGTTTGCATGCAAGTAGCTTCCTTGGTAAAACAAAGTAAACAGCAGGGTAATCTAGCATTCGTGTGTCTGATCTTGTCTCGGACAAGCCGAAATGACTTTTCGCAGTAACTAAATGCATTGGTGCCAGTTTTGAAACAGGATCCCAAATATGAACGCATCGCAGCTAGTATGGGTACTTAACAATTTCCTGAAAATCTAAGTATCAGCCAACAAGTGGCCCTGTTGACACTTTATAATAAACTGAGCTCAACTATTTGAGGGTTTGATCTCATGACCATTATAAAATTGGATTTGACCCATGCTTCATGGCTTATCCGTAACCTGGTTTACTTAAGGATGGTCTGCCAAAGTCAAAATCAAAGGAAGCTTGCACAGTGCAAAGCAGATGTATCAGGTCAAACACTAGGCGGATTCGCTACTGATCCATGCAGCTGTGGTTTTCTGCAACGAGGACTTGGTGTGACCATTCAGCACGCTCTATTTAGCCCTCTATGCATGATATAATAACCAGGATTGCAATTATGATCCCTTCAGTATCATCCACGATCACAACCATCATTCTGCATTCCCGATACCAAACGCCGTTGGACATCTCAGTATGGATGACATGAATGTCTGGTCGCATTCATTTGGTACAATCTTGTTTGCATTCAGTGCTATTACCTTTGCTGCAACCTGTCCAGCTCCTTTTGCACAAGAAGCTATTGTCATATACATTTACCACGTAGCAGCCGCGCTCTGCTTTCTATGCTCAACACTCTACCATGTCTTTGCTCGTAGTATGTCAGCAAACAGTTGGCAATGTGCCGATCATTCTAGCATTGCCATCTTTATTTGGGCATCAACAATCTCATTTATCTTTTTCTCCCACAATAGTAGGGTGTTAAATCAGTTTCAGCAGATTTCTATTATATCTGCGCTCCTGGTATTAACTCTGCTGTACATATGGACAACCTGGTCTAGTCCATTGAGCAGACAACACCGGATTGCCGTTCATGCTACTTTTGGTGGAGTAGCAACACTCCCTGCTGTCTACTACTGGTACAGTTCTACGGAACAACGAGGGCTTCAAAACGCATTCAGGAATTTAGTAATTATCAATACTTTAGGAGGGTTTATCTATGCAACCAAGTTCCTTGATAGTACCCTAGGAAAGGCTCTAAATCTACCAGACACTAGTCATCACATTATGCATGTTATTGTTGTTCTTGGAGCGTGGATATACAGACAAGGTCTAGTAGAACAGTATAATAGTTGCTCGAAGTGTTCAGATACCTGATAACAGTAGTCAATTCAGTAGCGCTTGAAGAGAATCAATAGCAAGAATTCGCTGCACTAATTCTATCTAAGAGGATGATTTACAGGAGCGCTGACCACGCGACAATCTGAAGCTATGATTGAAACTGCAGCCTGGATGGCGGGAATGCTTTAGGCATTCTAACATTACCATAACTTGGTATTCTTTAAAATCCCTTGCCTCATCAGTACAGCTAGCGTCCCACATTGCAAGGCATCTGTCGGCAGAACATGCGCAGGCTGAATCAGGCAGGCAGGCTAGGAGCTTGCGTGTAACTAGAAAGCTGGTTTCGTCTTTTGGTTTTGCAGAAAGTAACTTCCACCGGCGAGTCTCATACTTTGTTATTCTGTCTGTAATACGCTCCTTGGTTTTAGAGGATAGTTTCTTCATTACAGTAGAGCGCGTAGACGGTTGTTGCATACTGTAAAATGCATCTATTGCATCCTCTACTGGCAGACATGAAAGCACTAAAGCAATTGTACTTGCGTGTTCGTCGCCTCGATTAAGAATGTCCCGGTTGAGTTTGACTAATTCGGGCCATAGCGTACGGTCTATCAAGTTAAAGAGGAAGAAATTGTCCCCAAACCGAGTAAAAATTGGTCGAAGCGTTTTAGTCGACATATACAGCCTGGCCTTCTCGTTGAAGTCTACTGAATTCCATCTGTATTCTAAGAAATCTTTTGTAGGTGGCATCATAACTGCTCACTGACTGCAGGTGCTTGTAAGGTGAAGTAGGAAAGGAAGATGGGCTAAAAACGTTTAACACTTGATATGATAGCCATGCGTAAGCATGAATATTTTTGTGCGGGCAATTTTTCAAGCCCTCTAGTATTTCATGGACTCCTTGTTTGTGCACCTCAATTTTCTTAGCATTTTCAAGGAGTATTTAACTAGAAGACATGTTATCTCCAGTTGTCTTAAGGCATCTATCATTTTAGTATACAACAACAAATTTAGGGCTATTTTACTACACAGAATGCTTAATATTCCAGAACTTCGGAACGAAATTACAAAATATCTACCAAACTCTGCAGTCTTAAACTTCCTAGAAGCAACTCTTGATCCAGCTCCTGAACCACTGAAGATTTGGAATCGTATTTTTAACGACAATGGAGAATGGCTAGACTATGCAGTTGCGAATCACAATGTCCAACCTGTTCTCCTCTGTGGTAACTTCCAAAAAAGAAGTCCTTACATCATACTCTGTCTAATGGACTGGACTGGCGATCTTCAAGACGAGAAAGAAATCTTCAAGAAAAGTCTAAGGACATATAAAAAGGACAAGAAAACAGGGTTACTTAAATTTAAGCAGACTTCTAAGGGGAAGGCCCTCAAGAGGAAGGGCCTTAAACTGCGAGTAATAGGCCTGCAGGATGAGTGGGGGGATGAGGATTTTAACATGTCCGACTGGGAGGCCCATCGCCTATTTTCTCACACGACTTCTGGAGATAAGTTAAGTCTTAAGTATTGTCTTTGGACAGATACAGACAGGAGGATCCGGACAGTAAAAAAAAACGACATTCGTGGTATAAATGGCACGATTACAGAAATAAAGGATCTTGCCCCAATATTCACAGTAAACCTGCCAATAACTCCTGACAAAGGACCGCTAGAGTTGGTATTCTCCTGGGGAGCCTCCGCACGAGGCCTTGGAGTTACAAAAGTTCACATGGATGATAAAATGCATTACTATGAACAACCCCTGGTTGATCATTGGACGTTCACACGCGAACTCTACTCTGAAAATCGATATAGAATAAAGGACTGGACTCGTGTTCACGAACAGGATGCTATAGTAGAAGGGGAGAAGCCCACAAAGAGAGTGAAGAGTGACATCTGATGTTAACTCGCAATATCGGGGATACTAGTGTATGAGCAATTTAGAAGACATTTGAAATCAATGTATCATGTTCCGTCCGTCAGAGAAGCCAGTATCATGGTAGCATCGTGGCTCTACGACTCCGGCAGACAACTCTTACAGCTAATGCCGCGACAAGGCGGGTAAGACTCCGGAGTGCACGGGAGGAATGACAAGGCAGGCAAATGTAGATGATATTTGGCAAGGAATATCGAATGATCAGTAGAGCTAGTTCAATTTCTATATAACTATATAAGTACCACCTAACTACTCACTACAGGCATTGATCTTCCGCTGTCCTTTATTGAAACCATGCTACACAACAATGGGCCTGCAACACTAGAATTTGACGGCGGGTATGAAAATGTTACTCTTACTGTTTACATTGCTCCACGCGATAGCTACATCACAAAGGAATCAATCAAAAGTCTCCCAAGCGACACGATCAAAATTAAAATGAAAGACATCCCTTCCCACCTCCGTTGCTCCTGCATTGTCGGCACATATTCCGATGATTCTGTATATTATTCCCCGGCGAACTGCTGTGAAAAGCACCATTATTTGATGGAGCAGAAAACGATTTTCAAGAAATCACATAGTAAATGGAATATTGATGTGAAGGGAGAGCTTAACACGCAGTGTTTTACCTGGACAAAGGGTGTTATTCCCTGGTGGAACAGGTGGAGTGTAGTATGCTTGGATGTTCAAAAGAAAGAATACATGAAATAATTAAGAAATAAAAACGTTACTCCTTACATACAAAAAATACCCTAATCCTGCTCAAACAACATTACTGTAACAAGCTTGTTTTACGATCGATCAAACCCTTCTAAATGCTATTTAGCTCTCGTGTGCTACTCTTAATTATCTTACCTGTCTATATCCTTACCACAGCGGTCGGTACTTCAGATAACTACTGTTTGTGGCTAACTAGCGGGATCGATATATATGTCAGCATCGTACGCAAACAGGACAAACAGCCCAAGCCATAATGTAGCCATCTGGAAGCATAGTAAACTGGGCCCTCGTCTCTAAGTCAGAGTTCTGTGCCCAGATGGCTCTAGAATGGAGCGGCTCTATATCGAACATCTTTAAGGTAGGCCGGCATACCGTCGTAAAGCAACTAATCAAAGAGTTCTTCTGCATACGAAAAATTAACAACCATGATCCACTAACGAACATATACTTATGATGGGTCTTGTCAAGTGTCCAATCACGTGAGGTGACCTATGTCAAATCCCTGCACAGTGGGCTCGTGCGAGAGGCATCGTACTTGTAAGATAACGTGCCATATAACGTGCCATATCCACGCCCCCTTGTAATTGATGGGGGTGCTACTTAAACTACCCGCCGAGCTGGTTCTCTCCATAGCAGACTACCTAGAACCGGCAGATATCAACGCTTTTGCGCGAGTCGACCCCACTCTCTACGACCTACTTTGCGATTGCCTCTATCGACACAACCTACAGCATCAGAACGGCTCGGGCCTTCTACAAGCCTCTAAGAGAGGTTTCGAGCGAGTAGTAAAGAGGTTCTTACAACTGGCCAAGGATGACAAAACTGAAAGGACATATGAGATTTTCCGGAGTGCAATGTTCGTTGCAGATGGCGCAAAGCACAGAGGGGTAGTGAAACTATTGCTCCGCGACAGGATTGAGGGGGACATCAGAATGGCTGCATATTGCAGTTTTCTATTAGTGGTGGATATTCTACTAGAGAATAACAACGACCCTACAGCAAAGAGCCAGCTATATACGCAGGCTCTTTCTTCAGCCTTCTGCGGCGCCGGATTCGCGACGATAAAGCATCTTCTAAGGATGAAGATCGACATTGATACCCAGGACGGCGAAGTGTTGAGAGAAGCGTTGACAAACTTCAACTGTGCTTACTGGTTCCTCGACCCGGACCTAGTAAAGCTACTCCTCGATAAGATTGCTCTTCTCCCCAACACACCTGCGCTAGACAAAATATATGGCACACTCATCGTCGAATTATCAGATCAAGATCAATACTCCGAGCCAACATTACAGCGAGTGTTGGCAAACCCTGCATCTACAAACGCCCAAAACACATGTCTACTGAGACAACGGCACACTACTGGTGTTGCAGGGCAACTGCGGAAAAGACTAGCACAAATGAACTAGATGCTGCCATGTTCTGTCCTATCCCCCCCAATCGATTGGGGGGGATAGGGCAGAACTGTGTAGTCCGGCTTACCAGCATATTGTTCTTTGCATATGTGAACGGTTGCTCATCTGTTTCTTTATTGAAATACCCTCACCGCGATGGATAAACTTCCAACAAAACTTATTCTGGTTATATGCAAGCACCTACATTATCGATCCGATTACGCAAGTCTTTGTGCCGTTAGCAAAGATTTGAAGACAAAATGTACATCAGGGCAGAAGGAACGTCAGGCCTTGTTCCGTCAATTTTTTACAAAGGAACGTTGGCATGCAAGCGACGCGGCTAAAGTTATCCTGGAGCATTTCACAACTCGACCAGTAACCATACTTGTTTTATATCAAGCCGTGCTACCCCAGCAGCCATTGGCATTGACAACATTTGGACGGCGAGTCGTAGAACTCTATGGGGAAACCGGCCAAACTGAATATGGATTGAATATTTTGGAAGCTATCTGGCGATACTGGACTCCATATGCGTCCATGAGCGGATGATAGGGCTGGAGATGAGGCTGGCGACCATGTACGAGAAAAGCGAGCGGCAAGAGGATGCATTGATGGTTTTAGAAGCTATCTGGCGAGACTGGACTCGAAATGGTGCCCAGGAGCAGGCGGTAGAGCCGGGGATGAGGCTGGCGACCATGTACGAGAATAACGAGCAGCAAGAGGATAGACTGAGGGTTTTATCAGCTCTGGCAAAGTTAGACTACACTGAGGAGGGTTGACCAGATATCTTTGAATGCTGGTACAGATAGACCGTAGGTAGGTGTATGTAACTGGTCGTTGTTGACTGGGCATATCGACCTGGTTAAGGTTTCAAAAGAAGTTTAAAGACAACCAAAAGTAAGCAACCAATCGTGATTACGCGGAGCTAGCAACGGAGAGCCAGCTCAAGTTGCACGGATAAATGGAGCGCGATATGAGGAGAATGTGGTTGCCTCAGCGCGATATAGAGTCCCGTCTGGGAAGATGTACTGATATTCAGAAGGTAAAGCCTTTACGGACGTTAGCGGGCTAGACACAAGAAGAACAAGCTTAGAATCATCACAAGCCCAAGCAAACTCCGGCAGGTACCGGTCAACGCGGCGACATTGCATCATCCTTCCACTTAATTAGGTGCAGATTTCTACAGCGTAGAAAGAGTTCTTTCTACTTTTTGATAGAAGTACCTACTATTTGTCTCGTCACAGTGGTTCTCGCAACCTAGGAAATATTACACGCACGCATTGAGTTTCGTCTTCAACTACAATGCGTGCAAGTAACCTCGAAAGACAGAAATGGAGGAGCAGGTGCCGAGAAGAGTTGTCACGCCATATCCGTAAATATCCTCTTCACGTAACAGAAACTATCACTACTAAGATAGGTAGGAGCTCGACTTGGAATTACTATCGAGCCAGCCCAAGTTCGACTTCTTCCACGCTCAGACGACCCCTACCGTTGGCACTCAGTACCTGAGAAGCAACACTTGTTCTCTAAGAATCTTAGTGATCATTCAATTGGGGCGTACAAAAGTCTCTGTAGTGGCATAGGAAAGACCTTTGAGGCTGTTTGTCCTGACGAATGGAGCACTATGCGCAACGGAGATGATATAGAGGCCGTTTTAGGAACCTCTATGTTACCAACAGAAGCAGACATTAGCTTTACTGGCAAGATATCGCGGCTCCAAACAGAAAATTCAGACCTAAAGGCAGAACTTGAAACGTGTAAAAGTAATCTCTGTATAGAGCAACAGAAGCGATTAGACTTGGAAAACACTGTTAACTGTTTACAGCTAGAAATAGTGCAGACTCAAGCATATCTAGAAGAGAGTTTGAAGGCTGTTGAAAGCTACACAACAGTGCGTCACCGTCATTTAGATGCCCTGCATCAAGTGCTCCCCATACTTGAGGGGTTAAGGCAGGACCATCTCGGATAAAAAAATAGAATTGTGAGAAAGGCAAAGTCTGGTAAGGAAACAGGGTCAGATACGCGTTTTTGTATCTAAAAATATGGTTGTGGAACATCGAATAATATCACCCGCTTCCTGCATCTGATATTTCCGTCGCTTGTGTCTCCCAAACCTCACTACCATACGACCTCCAACACCTCACCTAGACTCGGCTTCTCTATGCGAAGAGCATCTATTGAATCTTCTTCTCGCCACTATAATAAATCTAACCACAAACTAGCCCGCGGCTCCTCCGAGACAGTGATGGCCTGGCCTGCCGCGCTAGCACGTCGGATAGGCGGCTACGAAAACTAGAGGGCGGAGAGGATCAGAGAAGCTGCAGGAAGCTGCCAAAGTGGTCCTGCGAGATGAAGGTTGTCGTACGGACAGGCCCGCTCGTTGCGCCAAGTTGCAGACAACAACCACGAGCATGATGGATTTAGAAGGTTTTGTCCTCTACACGCGCGCGCCGGGTCCAACGCCACCGGAAGTGCAGTCGGCCGTCGAGAAATTGCCTATGAACCCGTCAAGCCGGCGCGCATTGAGGAGTTTTCGGAGGAGTTCTCAGTACCGCGAATTGCTCTTCTGCGCTAGAGACACTTATCATGCTCGCCCCAATGTAATATCGTGGCGCTCTACGAATCCGGCAGCGGATAGTAGAGATAAGAATGCACTTAATAGAGTGGTAAGAACGGACTGCGAGAGCTTATTT